AAACTGACGTCTTTAGCTATGTCCTGTGAAAATTTGAGAAAAATTCGTTAAAACCCGCAGGAGCACAACTCGTTCAAAAATCAGTAATTGCCGTAAAATTCTTCGCGAGAAAATTGAATTTGAATATTACATTTTCAATGTTTTTCTTATTGCAAGCGAAATGTATTTTATTAAATAACGCGAGTTTTCAACAGTTGGTCAGATAGTAGAACTAGTCTAATGCTTTCATGAAAACCAATAAAAAAATTTTAGGCAAAATTAACACTCAAAGGTGTTCTGTAACCTTAATTGTACTGCAGTGCAGTACAATTAATGAAATAATTGTAGGCTACTCCTCTCAACCAATCAGCATCCAGTAATTTATTTTGTCATGCTAATAATAAGTTAGATTAATAAGTTGTTTGAAAATTAAGATAGAAGAAAAAAAAAGACTTAGGAGGGAGGAATGTAGAAACCGTTATTAGTCTTGTAACCAAATGAGTGAGTGCCCTACATAAACAGACATGGTAATATCTTTATGTGAATATGGCATTAATCTTGTTGTAGTTTGTTTATCTACCGAAAACCATGCAAAATACTTAAAATACTATATTAATTTCATGAGAGGATTCATCATATATTATACCTATCGTGTAACTAAACAATACTGAACGAACGTAAACACTAAATCTAGCTATATGTTCACCCACTACGGTCACTCTAGTAGTAGCATATATCAATTAAGAAACTTTTTCATTTACAAAATGGTTCAGTCGAAAAAGGTTTTTACTGAAATGGCGCTATGTCAGTGACAGTTAATGCTAATGACGCGTCGACGCGACAATGATTTGTGTGCCGATTTTAGTCTAGATGTCTTAGATTCACATTGATATCAGTTGAAAAATTAAATAACAGGTCATTTGACGACACATCACCAACTGGGACGTGCTTTATGTTGATATACATTTTTCCGCGTAGTATCACAACAGAAACAGGTTTTGATCTGACTTTTCTATGCTGGCTAAACCACAAGGTTAGCACTATTTTCCATCCAGCAAACTGACCTGACGTCATTTTCGGAAGATGGAAGAGGTGCTAAATGGCAATAGACGGTTTTAGATAACAAGACGCGGACGTCAAGAGGACGTGAAAATGACGTATGCACCTCGCGTTCACTTCCGGGTTTTAATCTGGGACGGCTAGGCTTGTTTGTCTTTTTCGAAGCAAATTTTTGTTTTCTTGTTACCTGTTCATTCCTGTATTGTTTTCAATCAGTTGTAAAGATATGTGCAAGATATATAATACTGGCCAAGTACATGTTTCCTGATGAATTAGTATGAACATTCAATAAGTTTTTTTTTTAGAAAAAAACGTTATATTTCTGTATTTTGAAAAGAGAACTTTGTTGCATCATTTGGAATAAATACAATACTCAATAGCTGCAGGTATTGTTTACGAGCTAAATGCTTTATTGTAGCCTATTCAATCAAGTTTGTCAACTGTTCAGTATAAATATAGCATCAGTGTTTATATTGGTAAAATTTAATACTGTTTACGATAGTTTTTCACGCTGGAAAGCGTTTTTTTGCTTGTCCTACTTTTTGCACTGTTGTGACAGAGGCAACTAAAATTGATTGAGTTTTTACTGCTTTTAAGTGCTTTTATTTTTCTATTTTCCCACGTTTTCCTGATTTTAAACAGTTGTTAATATAACTTCAGTTTAGTTTGTTCTAAAATATTTGTTTTGGTGAAGATTACTAGCGGTATTGAAGTGGTTATTAACACATTAACACTGCAAAGTTTTGTTGATTTGTTTATGGCGACCGAAAGTATTTGTCGAAAATCAACTCGTCTAAAATTTAGCGAAATACAAGAAAAACAACCTTGTCAATGGAAAAAATTTAGCTAGTATCATTAAACAATACATGGGGAACAAAATAGGATGATTTTTATTATGCATAGTCCCATATTTTTTTCAAAAGAAGCAAAAACCTGTGACGTTCTAGAGAGTACGTGAAAATTGTATTTTTGCGTCGTGAAATCGTCCACTAAGACGACGTCGCAAACCAGAAGCTGACGATTGTTGGCGCCAAATGACGACATCCACGTCCTCTTGACGTCCACGTCTTGTTATCTAAAACCGTCTAAATGTGACCAACCCAAACCCTGTTCTTACCCCCGACCCTAACCGCAATTCTAACTATATAACCCTAACCGAATTAGTTCTTGATAGACCATTATATTCTTGATAGACCATTATATTCCTCAGCTAGTGATGCTCTTCAGACGCTTGGTTGGAAGTCTTTATCAGAACGTAGACGCTTTCATAGATCGTGCATGGTTTTCAAAAGTTTTAATGCTCTTATAGATTTTAACTTTAATCAAATACGTAGGTCTGATCTTCATCACCATAACACTAGATCGGGAAGTGATCTTATCATTCCAGTATATAGAACGAACTGGGGTCAAAGTAGATCAGATTTCCTCTTTATTGATGAATTCAATAAACTACCTAAGACTCTGATTGGAGCAGATTCATATGCGCAATTTGTCAATCATTATTGGTCTCATTCTTTTTAAAATGAACACCTTTTTTTATGTTATATTGAACAAACTTATATTGATAGACTTTAGACATTTTTTAGACCTTAGACTTTATTGTATAATTAAGTATAAGTATTTATGTTGTATAGCTTAAAGGGCTCTCATGAAAATCACTTTTGGTGACTGAGACCTCCTCGGTAAAGAATGTACAAATAAATAAAATAAATAAATAAATTAATAAAAAAATCCAAAACGAAACGCCTTTTGCTGGATGGAAAATAGTGCTAACCGAACCACAATGCATCACGATTGAAAACGATGCCGTGATTATGACGAAAACCTTAATTAATGTGGCGCAACTTAATTAAAGACGTCATAACAAGATACTGAATTCTCATTCCGTTCTCGCGCACTGCTATAGTCGGACGTTACGTTACTCGCTGCTTGCAAAGAGATTACAAAACTTTAAAATAACACTTTGTTGTTATGGGATACCTAAAAAAGATATGCGTTGGAGCAGCTGCAGTTGTCAGCTCAGCATTGCTTGGGTATTTCTTATACAAGAATTATTTTCAATCGAAAGAGGTATGACCATTGAAAAATTGTCAAACCACATTCGAAAATCTGGCAATCATATACTAACGATATATTTTTTTTAACAGGACATCGATGAAGATGATTCATTTAAAACTGAATCAAATTCAGCCGAAATGAATGAAACTCAAAACATGAATTCAGCTGAAGATGTTACCGAAGCTGAAAACGGGAATTCGACTAAAGTCGTTAACGACGCTGGGGCCAGCAACACCAGTCAGTGTTCAAGCCAGCATCAATCCAAAAACAAGGGCAAAAAACCACCGAGCAAGTCTAGAACAGGCTACATGGGCCTTCGCAAGGGTTTCTTGCTGAAATAGATTAGGTAAATGTCATCAGCAATGTAAATCTTCAAGTACGGTCAAACAAATCCTTACTCATTGATTGTACTTTTCTTCTTTTTCTAGATGATCATGCAAGGTTGTCAAGAGATTGTAGTTTAGTTTATAACTTAGTTAAGGTTTTTTCATTAATCATTAGTGTAGTTAAATTAAATTAAGTTTAATAATATTGTAATAAGTTTTATTGAAGTTTTGGAATAAATTTTGGAAAAAATGATGGTGTCATTATATAAATATACCCGGTTTTTGAATAAGCAAGGTTGACCTTTCAAGGTCGATCTTTTCATTGACAAGTAGACATAATTTCACCTTTATCATTGAATAAACACTATATGCATTTTGTTTTATACCAATTGGACCACGCATGACGGTCTAAATTCCTCGAAACTAACGAGAAACATTTTTCTTTAGGAAACTGTTTCGCTAGGGGATGAAGCGGGAGCAAACAAGTTTCTTACTGTTTCTCATAAACTTAGTAGAAATTTTTAACGATTTAAATCGCAAAAATGTTGTGATTGGATAAAACCACCCCAAACAACAACGCATACCGCAAAAAGCGATGCTCTTCTTGACAACCTTAGTGAATAAGTAGATGATAAGTACCAAAGTACAATGAAAATGGGATAAAGACCAGGAAGGACTTACTATCGTAAGGAAAGTGCTGCCTCAAAATTGGCGCTCTCAAAAGATAAATCGGAAACAACACGCGTGCGCGGTACAATGGGTGATTCCAGCTATGGACGAACATCTAGACAAGAAGAATGAAATCCAACACCACACCTAGAAAGAGCATCTTAATATGAGTAAAATTGCAAAGTTTGGTTACGAAATGTTGTAAAATGAGGAAAATATAGCTCTGTGGAGTTCGCAAATTTTGTATATATTTGCATTGCGCGCGGGAAAAATAACAATTTTTTAGCGGAAAGTGGTTATTTTTACCGCGCGATAATACAAATATATACAAAATGTGCGAACTTTACAGGGGTATATTTTCTTCATTTTACAATATTTCGCAACCAAACTTTGCAATTTTACTCATTTTAAGATGCTCTTTCTAGGTGTGGGTGTTGCATTTCGTTCTTCGTGTCTAGATAAAAAATTTCGTCCATAGTTGGAATCACTCATTTCAAGTAATCTTAATTTCTGTTTGTTACGTTTTCTACTTGTAATTTGTTAACTGGAAAGGGCATCAGTTTATTACCAAACCGACTGAGGCAATATCGAGATCGTCACAATACAATTATCAGTGACAAGGATGGTGCTAATAAACTATACTAGAAGTTACTATCGCAAGAAAAGTGCTGCCTCATCCCCAAGGGATTAAAGGCAGCATGCGCAATTTGCTAAATAAAGGACTGTTTATATGATCCCGCTTTGCCAGGACGAGATATGATGCGGGACGATTACGTTGTATTGAAATAAGTCATGGTCTACAACTGACAACATTTCAGTTCTGTTAACCAGCATTTGAACTTTCATTTAACCTAGTGATTGAAATACATCAAAATCATCCCACTCTCCATCATGTAAACAGCCCCTAAGATGCCTGTTCAGAATGTAGGAAAAGTGCATTTTGAATACCAAAACACCTTGCACAATGTCGAAGGTTAGCTAAATATTCTAATTCTTCTTAGCTTGTCACGGAATACTTTACAATTGTGGCGTTCATAGGTGTATACTGTATGGATGTAAAACTTATATTATAGTAATAGGATTAAGCGGTAGAGACTTTGCTCTTTCCTGACTATCTAGAGCTGTTGATAGATAAATGACGTAGTTCCTTATTTGGGAGAGTCTCCCACGGAGTGTTGTATGATATATAAGATTGTGTTTTAGGTTAATAAAAGGTTCTCCATTCTGGCCTTGATTGCGAGCGCTTGTTGTGTACCAACGCGGCACGTTACAATTTGGTGGCAGCGGCGGGATAATGATCGAAGACGCGCAATAGCCGCTATCAAGGCCATGGTTTTAAGACAAGAGTAAGACAAACCGAGCGGGCAATCCGGCGGAGAGTGCAGTCAAACGTTTGGCTTCGCAAGTTGCCGCAAGTTGGACTGTGTTCAGTGGAATAGGTGGACTGAGAGGAGATCCAGATTGTCGATGTTGGTCGAGCGGCGATCTTACCAAGACCAAACAAGGACTGTCCAGAAAACTGAGTAGAAAGTACTAAATAAGTAAACGCCAACCAAAACTGAATTGAACTGTCTGTGTGTGAGTTATGTGTTTCCTTTCCTGTATGCTGTGTATTTTGACTTTTGAGTTTGAAAATTTCCCGTGTTGTGCGCTTGTGCTGTGTATGAATCATCAGAAGTAAATCGTCTATCCAGTGTCACCTGGCAAGAATATGTTTCCTACCAGCTGTGAAGTCCTGGCGTTTTCTGCGTTGGTTCATCCCTTCTACAGTTTTATTTGACTTTCGTGTGAACTGATAATTATGTTATATGTATTGTTGCTTTCAAGACATTTTATATCTTTAAATTAGTGAACTTATATTTGTTGCGCGCGTGAACGGTATATATCATAGTAGTTTCGATGGAAGCACAAAAAAAAAACACAAAAAAAATAGAGATGTTAAAGACAGTTATGTTGGCAGAGATAGCGTAAGTCCGGTAGTATAAAAGAAACGGCAGACCAACGATAGAGTAGCTGTAGCCTTGTGGTAATTATGATAAGTGAGCACAAGTGATGCCGGAAATAGTCCTGTAGAGTAGGGACAAAGAAAAAACATTTAAGAAAATATGTGCTCGAAGTTGCTAGTTAAGTGATATGATGTTACCTGGTGATTTATTTTTTTTGTATATTAGGCTTGTCGTTTATGTATATATTCAGTTTTCGGGACGAAAACAATAAGTGAAGGGATATTGTGGCGTTCATAGGTGTATACTGTATGGATGTAAAACTTATATTATAGTAATAGGATTAAGCGGTAGAGACTTTGCTCTTTCCTGACTATCTAGAGCTGTTGATAGATAAATGACGTAGTTCCTTATTTGGGAGAGTCTCCCACGGAGTGTTGTATGATATATAAGATTGTGTTTTAGGTTAATAAAAGGTTCTCCATTCTGGCCTTGATTGCGAGCGCTTGTTGTGTACCAACGCGGCACGTTACACAATATCATATAAACAATAATACTACTTGAATGAATCATTGGACATGTATAGAATTTAATAACAATTTCAAATGGCACCTTGAATGCTATGTTCACAGAACAACTGATGGGGTAGCAAATCTATTTGTTGACATTTTTGTCTGCTTCAGATGACACTGTTCATGGCTAGCTTGAATACTGTACAATATCATATATATAAACAATAATACTTGAATGAATCAGTGGACATGTAGAATTTAATTAGCCTCCTCCGCAGGCATCGCCTTTAGATTATCGGGCAAAATTTCTTGCAGGCAAAAAATCCGAGATGCCTGCGGAGTTCATGTGGCTACTATATAACTCATGACGTGTTCATGTGGCTACTAACTCTTGACGAAGGGCCTTCGCTCGAAACGTCGACTTTCTGCTTGTTTTTTTTTTCGGGTAGTAATATAACCACTCAGCACAGCAAGTCAGTCACATTGGTACCACCCACACTGGTACAGACAGTTTTAGTATGTTCACAGAACAATCTGCTGATGGGGAGACAAAAAACTATTTGTTGACATTTCTGTTTAATACGTCAGCTTCAGATGACACCGTTCATTTGTAATGACTAAGATTGTACTCAGTCACAACTGCAAAACTATATAATAAGAAAGAAATTGTGAGCATTATAAAAAAATATAGTATAGCCTGAACACAGCCATGTGAATATGTGAATGTAGGTTGGTAGCCGGTAGGATTATTTCATATTAGGCTATGCTATTAAACAATGGACATATGTCAGAGAATATATTTTTACAGACCGTCATACCTCGTACAAAAGGCGGTTGACATGTTATATTACATGTAACTGCTGGTAAGTTAGCTAATATGTGCAGACAACAATCCACACTGGTCACTGGGTTAACTGCATGTGTTGCTATAGGAATATAGGAATATGAAATATCTTTACATTATATTAAAAGCATACACAACATTCCGCGTTTGTTTTTAAAACGTGCTGAAAGCACATAATTTGCTATATCTATGTACATCTAGAATCTATGTACATCTAAACTCATCGCCACAAAAACAAATAAACCAAAAGTACATTTTGACTTCTCAATGTACCGATAAATTGGTGAAATCATCTTGATTATTGTTTCAAATACCTCATATCGAACACTTTTAACAGCAGATCTAAATATAAATGCCTTCATGCAATATCACCAGAAAGAAATAAAGCTATATCCTTACCTGAATTATTCAAAATATTGTCGATTTGTGAAAATCCAACATGCCAGTGTATCATGCGAGCGCAATACAAAATAAATTTTGACCGCCCCCCTCGTTTAAAAAAAAACTTCCTGAAGCCTTAATTATTTCCCCGGATTACGACATCTTTACATACAAACAGACAGACACAAATTCACAAATCGAAATCTCGATCGACTATACATAACTCGGCCAAAGAGACTGGACACAAGTAAACGCAGGCACGCAATACATCATGTCAAGAATAGTGTGCTGCCTTCGGCAGCAAAAAGCGGTTTTACTATTCATATGTTTTACGTACCGATAGTGAAATTTCCAGTTCACTTTTTATTCCGGAATCTTCTTCATCTTGCAAATGTTCATCCTTTTCTGGGATACAATGTTCAACACTACTATTAAGTTTCTGAAACTGAGCGTGAATATCTGACAAAAGAACTGTAGAACAAACCAAGCCAATTCGATAAATCTCCCTGTATATAGACGTTTCTTCTAATTTCTTAGATACATTATTGTTTTCCCCTTCTGCGTGATCCTTAGTCGTACTGGAACCAAAATCTACTTCAGACATCGACTGAACATTTGAACTCTCGAGAGAATATTCCGGAGATTGTAGTCGTTCTAGGTTTTCTGAATTTGTTCCTTCATTGCACGAGGTAAACGTGTCACCCATACTTAATACCCTATTGTTAGATTCCATTGTAATTGCGGATGACCATTCACAAGCATCATTACCGATACTGTGTTGTGGCGATTCTTCAAGACCATGTTTCGTTTTTGATTTTTCACTAACCAAATATTCAGTAACTATAGCTCGATAGTAAAACGCCATTATATTACAAAAATATTGATCAGTCATACTTGAAGTGCTCCTCCTGTCTGATTCTGACAAGCGTTGTATCATGTACCACGATTCAAGTCCAAAAGGAAACAAAAGTCTGACAAGATGACAAACAAGTTTGGAATATCCAGAATCGTGGCAGTCAATAATAGCTTTCAGCAAATGATCAATACAAATATCAGGTTTGGCAAGTATTGCGGCCACCAAGCCAAGGCAAATGTTCTTTGCAATCATCATAAACACCTAGAAAGTTGTGTACAAAATCAGCAAGGAAAGAATAGACTTTACATTCCTCTTGTTAGTAGGATTCATTCGCGACACAAAAACAGCGATGTTATATACATTATTGTAGCTTGCACGCGTATTTCAAATCCTATAAATATAAAGACCTATAAATAAGTAGCCTGCGTATACAGACTCTATTTATATCGCTTATTATCGCGTTTCCCCCCAGTGGAATAAGCGATATAAATAATAGTTCTATTCGTATTTTGTATCTGATGATACAGCCAGTGTTCTGTATATTAAAGTTTTATAAACATAAAACGATGCTTAATTTGTATTTTCGTTGGGAAAATACAGAATACATGCACAGTGGTTTATTTCCTTGCGCTACTTACATTCCCAATATCTTCTTTGTTTGGTAAATTTTGACTGCTACCCAATGTTGAAATTTGAACATAAAAGCCAGGCAACCTTGTTTCATGTACGCGAAGACCACATTCTGACCACCATCTTTCCAGAATATTATACACAGAATAGGAATCATCAACTGTAGTAGATCTCCAGTGAGATGTTGAATCAACTGATCTTCTCCCATGTTGAGCTGCAAAAAATGTGCAGTGCTCGTTTTAAATGTCAACCGACAAAATGATGATTCAATGAGAATGAAAATATACCTGAGCCGTGAGGCTGGTTATATGGAAGTCATTGTGACCCGTCTTGTGTTTATGTGAGAAAGGTTCATCCCGCTTCATGAAATTTTCAACCCAGCAACCGAGCCATCCCGGTCAGTGAGTGTTTACATTGAGAAATTTTCATCCCAGTAAGTGAGATTTCGTCTTTTTCAAGTGCGATCTCGGGAACCGGGCCTATACCAGTTTCATTTAAACCCAAAGTAATTTCTACTATAAAATAACGACATGGCGATATAAACAGCCCCTTTAAAGTCACACTGTATAGTTTGTAATGAGATCTGTTCAGAAATATTATTGTAGAACATTGTACAAATTGAATATTATACCTTTTAACTTCAATACGAATTGCGGTAGATTTGATGGCACATTATTGTTTGGGACGACGTCAAATACTTGCATTTCTGGAAAATCCTCAGAAGTAATAGCTCCAGATTTCAGCAAACTGACCAGAATAGTTTTATGTACGAGCATCAGCATTAAGAATGGCTGAAAAGGAAATTTTCCAGATATTTATTATTGTTCAGAAGAATAATTTAAGAGCAGATCGAATTTTTTGTATGTTACGTAACAAGCGCTCAAAACTAATGAATATACTTTTCCACTTGGTTATGACCATATTCAATTTTTAAAATTTCTGATATATGTTTCTCAAGCGGCAAACAAACTTAAAACGTATGTTTATAGTGCCTTATCTGTAAAATAATGCAAAAATGAAGAGATTTTAGATGGTACGCCAAAGAGAAAATAATGTCTGAAGTTCAGTTAATGCACCAATTCGTTAAGCAAATATTCTAAGACAATTAAGAAAACAACTATGACACACACAATGTTGTGGGAGAAGGGTTGTCGAGGAGAAATGCTCCGATTATACTTTAAACTGTGGCCAAAGTGTCGCCCCACAGACTCACTATGACAGCAATATGATTATGATATAATTATATGTCCTCAGGGGGTTGTGGTTCCCCCATGTTGGACTTTACCCAAGGGGTAGTAGATCCCCGAGATGGGCATCTTAAATGTCCAAGGGGTAGTAGATCCCCGTGATGGTCATTGTTTACTTTAATGTCCAAGGGGTAGTAGATCCCCGTGATGGTCATTGTTTACTTTAATGTCCAAGGGTAGTAGATCCCCGTGATGGTCATTGTTTACTTTACAATACACTGTATAATACATTGATTTGTGTGAGTCTATGGGGTTGAGGGTGACCTTTGGGAGCACTCCATCCCCAAACAACCAAATATTTTTATTTTTACAACCAGACTTGCAATTTAAGTCAATTCCAATACTGTATATTACAATATATATATGTGCCTGTAATAACATATTAACCGGTAAACTACTCCATAATACTTTATCTAGAACACTACATGAGTTGCATTTCATGTGAATCTTGATGACGGATTGCATATCAAAACAATATTTACAGATTTTTATTTATTATGTGATACAAGTTATGATATAGTGGTGCAAAATCCTTGAAGGGTGGGATGGGTGGTAATTTTGAAGTACTTTGCCACAGAGGTCATACAATTTTGCTTGCAAGTGACACAATGAGGCTTACTGATCCAAGCAGGCAATTATGCAGACGAAGAGGTGAAACCTGATTGGTCTATTTTCCCGCACGCATGGGAAGAGATTTGACAATGGTTTGTTGTTAATTCAGCCTTGCGCTTTGCACGTGTATGATCACACGATTCACAGATTGACCTTTGTACCAGACCTTTGTACTCCAGGAGACTTTGCACAACTTTACTCTGACTTGTCCTAACGCTTGTTTCATTAACTTAAGTTTATAATGCTATGGACATGTATAAACTTGCTTATAAGTTTTGCTTATATTGCTGTATAAATATGTGACCTTCCACGGGAAAACATACGTTAACGATTTTGCATTAAAACGGGCAAAAAAACGGATAACGAACGGATAGTAAACGCTTTGTCAAATCGTTTCAACGGATCCTCAAAACGTTTTAGACGTTTTGAGTAAAAAATACGAACGGATGAAGACAAAAAATTTAACGGCTCTACGAACGGCTTTAACAAACCGTTCGAACGGAATTAAGGAGCCGTTTAAACGATATTCGTCGACCGTTTCAACGGATCTGTACAGAATGGTATAAAGCAGTGAACAATAGCTAATAATTATGACGTCAAATTTACAGCATCAATGATAATTGTATTTAAATTGACAATATTTAACTATTATTTTGTATCACTTTTCATCGCAAATACGCGACACAATAATCTTAAATAATAGCTAGAAAAGCTAGGGAAGTGACTGGTATACAAATGTAGACCCGATATTTTCTGAGTATGTGATTCCCAGTCTCCCAGAACCTTCAACGGGGACATCCTACACTAAGACAGTGAAGACAACAAAAGACGTGCTCACGTGCACCTGGCAAAACCAAAGGTGGGTAATTTTTCTCATGCAGAAGGTTTAATAAATTTTGGACGAGGACACCCTCGCGTCTTTATCTGAACCATTTGGGTTCGTATACTCGTTTGCCATTGAGTACATGAAAATCTATAACTGGATCTAACTCATGCAATATACGCAAAATTTAAACCCCGAATGAACTATGTGCAATCTATTGGCTCAAAACAGTGCAAACATCGGATCTCATAGAAAATGCCATAGTTATTTTCCAAGGTTTTAAGTGATCGTTATAAATATATCGTGAACAGCCTGGAACTAATAAGAAAACATGTAAAGATACCTTGAAACCTGCATGTACCCGGCTTTATTATACTTAAATTTTCAGAGACGACAGTTTAGTTAAAGGCTGAAAGCAGACTCTTCACCATTGCATGATCAATTAAAATCAAGGAAAAAGATTTCTTTGACTAATTTACACAACTTACACAACCAAATTAAATCGACTAACCCCCCATCGGTGATGCCATCTAATTTTTATCGATATATACATTTAACTAGAAATACATATACATGCAACAACCCCTCGCCCACATTTCCCAAACATTGTTAAGTATTCTAATTACGCCAACATGGAACGCAGACTCGCGTCATGTTAGCCATGGCAACACGATAATTGCTTTCTTTTTGTTCAAAATGGCAAAAATAAATGAATGTTTTACACTTTTAACCACATAACTATCGATTTCTAACATATATAAAGTAGGTATGTTATTTTGCTTTCGATGGGCTTTATTATAATGTAAAATTCAACACAAAACGCTTCGTAAAAGTTTTTAAATGTTCATTGAAATTAACTGCTTTTTGCCGCTAAACTCTTCAACTTACTAATACTCGTACTTTGAAATGAAATAAATTCAAGTCATACAGGTCGCTCTTGAAAATAATTTTCTCCTTTTTTGAGCTTTTATAAAGAAATTAAAACAAGCTAATTCAAAAAAACTTTCACATAGAATAAAAAGGAAAGCTGTACATGTTTACAGCATTTGCATGTCATTTAAACAAAAGAGAAACACAGTAGAATGATTGGTATATATCAATAACACCGAAAGAAGGGCAATAACGTTATTTGAACATCATTTGTGCTAGTAACTAGTAAGTAGGTTCTATAACAACACCTTATTATATATTCCGTAAAGTGAAAATCAATGAGACGAAACAAAGAACAATTGCATGAACTAATTAATCATTAACATTTTCACAACAACAATAGCAATAAATCAAAACACATTTAACCACAACAAATAATCATTAATATAAAGGCGTATAAAGTCAGAAGTCGCGTTCTAACAAATATAGATTTAATGTTTGTCTGTTCACACAACAGCAAAAATGCTATTTAATATGTTTTAGCCCTGGATGTGTTCTCTTGCAAGACATCGTGGCAAGTATGTTTGCATCTCGATGGGCTAACTTCAATGTAAACAACATGCCTTCCAAATGCTTCGATATGGTGCGGTCATTGACGATTGGCTTTTCTGGTAGACGTCGGTGTAACTCGGCTTTGATAGCTGTCAATGTTAGCATGCAGTTTTCTAGTTGAGAATTGCTTCCAGACACCTCCTCATTTGTTCATCAACTTTGACGTTGTTTCGCCCTCCACGAGGTCTCTCATCAACCCTATTTTCTCGCAAATATCGGGCAATAATTCCTCGTGCTGTTGAACGGTTTATGCCCAAATTATCAGCTATCGCTAAGTAGTCTTGTTTCGGTGCTTCGAAAGCACGTACCAATCTTTCCTTGTCTTCTTGTCCAATCGATTTCTCACTCACTCTGCCATTGCACTTGCTGTTGTTGTCTTCTGTTCGAATGTAATTAACGTCCTTTCAACTGTCCTTTTATATGTTTTCATGGTTAATTATGTATACATATCATAACACAGCTGAGTCCAACGGGACCAAAATTTGAAAAAGGTGATTTACAACTTATTGTGTGAAAAGATGTCCAAGCTTTCTGTCGTGTGTGTTTTTATTGATATTTGCTTCCTTCACTCCTGGTAATCACCTATATTTTTGAGATCTGTGAGATGACCACCCATGCATAGCCATGCGCCCGCGATCATTGGTGAACTTTAGACTTCGCTAATGTTTTCCTTTCCCCAGGAACAGGGTGGACTTTCGTCGACGCTGCATAAAAATAGTGCGGGCTCGTGAGCTTTTTCCCGCATATTTTGTTTTTCGATGTTTGGCTTACAATTTCTAAGGATGTTGAAGTTTTCTGCATTGTGATTCACTGGTTTTTCAAAGCAATGGGGTAATCTTTGTTGGAAGTTATATACTAACCCTTCAACAACCTAATGACTGTTTTTAAAGCAAAGCAATTGAAAGGAAAACTTATATTTTCATACGAAGAAGATGAGTGGCGATATTTATGTTGGACTGTTTTGAGCAGATGCTTCGAAGAACATGATATGATCGGACCTTGTATCTTAAAAGTGTACTTGGAACAGCCGAACAAAGTGGTAAATTGTGTTATCCGGTGTATTGGGCATCATAATTCACAGGAATAGTACACAGTGGCGTTTGAACTGGCTATGAAATATCGTGAATACTTCGTCGAGTTCTCTACCGCCATGTGACCTGTAGTTTAATGCGGCACGCGTCTTTGAAAGGGCTTTACTTCACTTTAATCGACGTGTAAGGTATAACTTAGGTAAGCCAACATTTCTTTGTAATGCAAGCCACATTTTCATATCTTTAATGTGTGAATATTTTTAATTTTGTAAAAAAATAAGCGCAATATATGTTGTTGGAGAAAGTATCGAGTGCTTCATAATAACGCTCAGATCTTGTATACAGATATTCGTATTTTATTCAAAATCTACCCTTTATCACCACATTTTTTATTCTTTTATGTTAAAAACACTTGACTTAAAAACACGATGATCTACTCAAGGAAAATTGGGCAAAGGGGCGATCTTTGCAGAGAAACTTGACCGTTCGGTGAAATTAGTAGTTCAGAGACCCTATTTTCATTGTAGTATTTCGTGGCAATTTGTTGGCCGATTTCTAGTTTATATTGTAGAACGGGTTCCTAGTGAATTAAATTAATTGTCTATCCTCTACAGAGTAGTAATAAGCGCGACTCCTTTTTGTTGACGGATGTTGAATTCATTTTAGACTTTTATTCATAAACAACAACTACACTACCGAGTACTAAATCACTGTTTGCAAAGAGATAGCCTATATCACCACAAAAATTCAATCTTATTTTTAGAGTCAAATAGTTTCTCCATGGATAAAAGTAGTTTTTATGGAATGAAAAATAGGGCAAGTACGAATATAAAGAAGGTCAATTTGCACTTGTATATCTCACTTCGAAAAGGATATACATATTAAAAACAGGTATATTTGCACTGCGAAATTAAACTGCTGCAACAAAGTTTTTATTTCTACTTTCACGTTCTTATTCCAAAGCAAACACTTCTAAGTTGGAAATGCCTAAAATTGTGAGCGTAGAAACACTAAAGAAACAAGAAAACGACTTCATAACACGAGTAGTTTTGGCAAATGTTTGTTTTTATAATTCAGTCACGCGATTAACCCGCGCTCACGTGCACTCCACGCTTACGTTTCTCGCGCATGCGTAGACGAAAGTCCACCCTGTTTTCCCCAGGTGTAAATAGCCGAGCGGAATTAGTACCCTCGCCACGGGCTTCGCCCTACGCGCTCCGCTCGGGGATAAATTTTTCCTGAACAAAATATCTCCTGAACAAAGATAGATATAGAGTAAATTAAATTACCCAAAATATCTTTAATGAAATAAAAAATCATGGTGTTGCAAAGAAATTCCGCCACTTGTTTGTGCTTGCATCATGAAGAACACTTAAAATGAATGAATCATATCTCTTGTAGCATTGTGTTAAATTGTTTCTTTCTTCATTAATTTGATATTTTCACATTTACATAACATGTCAGTCATTTTATGTGTTCTTTACAACGCATGCATACAAACTGGGTTAAAATAGACCTTATGCACAATGACGTCACAAGGCTTGATGCCTGCGACGAATGCTGGTCTTAGTAGACATCGTCCGGAAAATTAAACAATTCAAAATGGCCACTATCGAAATTTTCTCGGGCGATGACTACTAAGACCAGCATTCCTCGCGGGCATCAAGCCTTGTGACGTCATTATACATAAGGGCTATTTCGTCGCCAAGCAATCTAAAATCTACCAATACCTGCATATCGGGGTAATCGTGAACCATTTCCAACGCATCATTCCATCTTGCTTTCTTTGTGGCCATCAGAGCACACTGTAGGATTAATGACTGAGAGATGTCTACATTCTTGCTTACTTTGGCAATCTAAAAATTGGATATTTTACATCTGAATAATGAATAATAGGTCGACGGGAAAAAAACCCGGACGGAATAATGAATGACGGATTTAATTGATTTAAGCCGGATAAGAATAAAAAATAATCAAAAGAATGAATGTGAATAACTCGAAAAATACGACGAATTAATAATTTGGAAACATTTAAAATTAATAATGCATACAATTATAGTGATATCCGTTTCACCCTCCACGCTATGTTTACGTGATGCAGCGGCAGTTGTTCACTTCACGACATGATTTGCATTTCGTGCGCGTACAATAGTACTCTCAACATTTGAAGCCAAACTTGAAGACCAGTTCCACATGAGTCTTTTCACGCATGCGAAATCGCGGTCAATCCGTTAGCATGAATATGTATTCTTGAAAACCGGCTTAAAATTTACAAAAAAGCGTTTTAACAGCGCTGGAAACGTCCTATTAATGCATTTATTCAGGTAAAATTTCCGAGTAGTTCTTTTAGCTTTTTTTATTAAGACGGCACGCTCTATCCCTGGACTGGTCTTGGGAGAGAATCGCGAGGCATAAACACGCGGGTCTGGGGGTCAAATTTGGCTTCAAGAAAAAGATATAGGTAGTTTATCTGAAGGTAGCGTTCCTGTTATATTTATTTCACTGGTTAGACCATAAAGATTATAAATAACACTAGAGGGGGCATCGAGGGTGGAATTTGGAAGCGCGGTGAGGGTGCGCGGACGTTTGGCCGACAGACATTTGGCCGACAGACACTAGACCGACAGACGTTTGACCGACAGGGCCTTTCACCGAGAGACATTTAGCCGACAGGATATTTGGCCGACAAGACATTTAGCCGACAGGACATTTGGCCGACAAGATATTAGGCCGACAGGACAATTCACCGACATTTCAATTATTTGAAACAACGTCTTGAAATAACATTTATTGTAATTTTCACGCATATTTACAATTTATGTGCAATAGCACGTAGTCTAAAAAATTTCGCTTTCTATCAAGGATGCATTTATGCATAACCTTCATACAGATGTCTCTGGCCAGCTCGTCTGGTCTTAACGAACTCCATAGTTTGTGAATGAATGTTGCAATGAAACCGTGATCCCCTGCCTCCTATATATAGGGAAATCACAATAACAAAATAACAATACCTATGAGTCATCCTTTTGACCAACAAATGAGTGATCCTTTTGTTTTATAGTGCTTTGAGACAAGTAGAAAAGCTATCTTATAATGTCTGTAAGTATACGACCTAATGAAACCACAGTTATTTTAATAGATGGTTTGGAGACTCGATGAAAGTACAATATAACTCATTAACTATGTTATTGTCCAGCTTTATGCAAGAATTTGGTCCTATCTCGTCACGTGTGTATTGTATTTTCGCTCAAATAACCAATAACAAGTTTGTGGTTGAGTTATCCATCTGTAACTTGAACAAATGCTCAATTTAAACATTGCTATTGGTTGTGTGGGAGAAAATACAATACACACGTGACGAGATAGGCCCAAATTCCTGTATAAACCGAAACCAACATAGTTAATGAGTTATATTGTACTTTCATCGAGTCTCCAAACCATGTATTCTATTAACTGTGATGAAACGCAACGACAACCTTGTAAATATTTTTTTATTTGATTAGCTACCGTGTTAAAATATGTTTTAATAAATAAACTAGAAAATACATGCATGCAGAAACCCTCGCCTTACTGACAAAACCATTATGTTTTCCAAACATAAGTATTGTCATGGTAACACGATAATTTTAAGAATAGTTTTAAAACTGAAAAATCCCTTCAAAATATGACTTTTAATGGACAACTTGCATGTTAGACTAAATTTTAATCTAAGCATAGAAAAGGGAATCAAACACCACAGGTAAAAAGAACATACTGAAATTAGTAAAAGTGCAAAATTTGGCTGCGAAATGTTGTAAAGCTTGGAAAATATAGCCTTGCAAAGTTTGCATATTTTCAATATATTTGTATTACGAGCGGAAATTGTTACCATTTTCGGCTCAAAAATGGTAACAATTTCCGCACGTAATACAAATATACTGAAAATATGCAAACTTTGCAAGGCTATATTTTCCAAGCTTTACAACATTTCGCAACCAAATTTTGCAAGTTTACTAATTTTAATAAGTTCTTAACGGGAATTTACTTTTTTTTTTGCCTAGATCGGTTAGATCAAAAATTTATCTTTCATGCAAGTTGTCTATTACAAAATGATCAATCTCAAACATATATGTGCTAGGTATGTTATATATACGTAATATAAGCTTCAATTTAATGTAAAATTCAACCACAAACGCTTCGCAAAACGTTTTAAAATGTTCTTTACTTTAAACTGAATTGCCTTTTATCGGTAAACATTGAGTTTGAAAATCGAAATAAACTGATCTCAAATTCTTGCATGAAATTCTCTTTATTTAAATATTTTAATATACAAAAAAGGGTAATATTAATAAAAATACACTGAAATTGTTTTCACTTTACTATACCCAACGGATCGTATCAGTTTTTGAAGCAATTATAAAGCAAACAATACGGCAATACTAAAAACAAACTTACCTTCATTAACGTCGGCGACTTTGCTCCATTCTTTTAGACGTTTTTAGACGGTTTTCGGCTCTCAAAAAGGTTTTGAAATTTGCAAAATCTTGCAAAAATACAATATATTTGCAAGAAATGTTTGTTATTTCGCTATCGTCATTATTCGTGATACAACAACAAATTTTAAATTTGACTAATCAGTGTTCGCTATTCATGACAGTCCGCCACATATTTTGAGATCAGTGAGGATGACCACCAACTGAAACACCGTTGGTCACCCACGCCCGCGATCATTGACGAACTTTAGACTTCGCTAATGCTTTCGTTTCCCCGAGTGTAAATAGCCGGGCGGAATTAGTACCCTCGCTCCGGGCTTACGCCCGGAACGGCGCTTCGCGCCGTTGGCTCATGGATAAATAAATGTTAAAGCGGGCATTAACAAAAACTGCGGTTCAATGCAGGTACAAACAGACTTCGGCTGGCGCTCTCTTTTCTCTAACTAAGCTTCCGTGTATCTGAATAGCCTGCCGCCAGAAGTCTGTCGCGGAAATAAAATTGGAGGGAAACTCCCACCAAATATAACACTATTCTTAGCGCTCGTAATTGAATTCGAAAATTAAATAAGATCGTAACAACAGGAATGCGAGATTACCGGAATATTTTATACAGGTGGGTCGTTATAATAGAGGCATGAAGCGTTAAGAGACCGACAAGGGGCTCAGTTCTTGTTCAGTTCCAGTTGAGAAGCAAGCAGTAAATGGCCTGACCGCCCACCCTAAAATTCGGGCGAGTCGTGCGCAGTACACCTACATGAGCAAAATGTTGAACAGCTGTTCAAAAGCTTGCATATCTTAGGACGCAGATCAATATTCCAACACTAAATCCAGCTGAGCATAAATGCCACGCCAAGAAATAGAATACTATATTGGCAACAAAATTTATAGCTTAATATCTACTATTAAAACTCTTGAAATTTCCATATTACCTGGCGAAACCTGGACAATATTAATTCTTTTACATTTTGTCATTGGCTATAAATTAAAAATGTAACGAAACAGTGATCGATCATGAGTCATTGGGACAGTCCCTTGGCTAAAAGCATTTGTATTTTTCACTTCATACGTTTATGTAACAATATTAAATCTATAAAATGTATAACTTCAACGTGCAATATCTAATTTTTCGCTGTAAGTTTAACCATTAACTCATAGCTGACTCAAAACTAATATATTCTCATAATTTTCTTAATTTAATTTAAACAGAGTTCAAGTAGTCAATGCCCATTATGCAAACTCTTTTTCTGTCTTTTAAGTGTCTATCACTTATACTTTCTGTCGTCTTCAGAAGACATCCAGCTGCATGTTCGAAGTATTTTTACCTAATTTATATTACTGAAAATGGCAACCGTGCAGGTTTCACACAAAGTTCTTCTCTTTTCAGTTGTGTTTAAATTCATTGTGATGATTATTGGAGTTTTGGGAAATATCACAGTCATAATTTATACAATTTTCTTGAGCAAAGAAAAGACAGCAACATCTTACTTGGTAGGAAACTTAGCAGTGGCAGATCTTCTTGTGTGTTTAATATTTTATCCAATATCAATCATTGAGCTTATACTGACTATATCAAACATTGACAGTAACCAGGATCTATTTTGTAAGTTACATCGTTCTACCATCTGGGCATTGCTGTTTGCTTCAGTGACTACACTTCTCGCACTTACTGTTGATCGGTATTTATATATTGTAAAACCTCTGAAGTATCCACTGATTGTGACGAAACGGCGAGTTTTTCTGGCTATTTTGGGAATTTGGTTAGCTGTCTGTTGTCTTTGCACTGTTTTACTTGTTCATTTTGGGAGATTTGACTCTGCACTAAGAAGTCTTTGCCCCGCAGGTGAATACACGTATTTGTTGTTGAAGATCTTCGTTTGTTATGTTCCACTTACTTTAATCTTTATTCTCAATTTCCGAATTTTCAATGTCGCACGGAAACAACGGAAACGAATCTTGGCTGAAACAACGGCAACCGTTAACATTTCCAGCGAAATGTCGTCCAAAAGACTAATTGGCATCGTCCGTCTTATTAACGGTTTGAAAGCAGCAAAAACATTTGCTATCGTTGTCGCAGTGTTAACATTCTGTGTCCTTACTCCAACTGTGGTTAGCAAAGTGATAGGAATTTGTGATAACTCATGCCGTCAGATGTGGTTCATCGTTTTCCACTACGATTTTTATGGACTGAACTCAATTGTGAACGCTTTCATCTATGGAATGAGACATATCAAATACAGCAAAGCTTATGGAAATATTCTTTTGAAATTACTTCGCTGTAATAAACTCACAAACTGAGGGTTTCCCACCCTCGCTCTCAGAAATTACTGCATGCACAAACTTTTTACATTTCTTCTCCAGGCCAACCGAATTTTTGTGGATGCGCGAT